TCACTGCAGCTTCAAACTTTTTTTTTTTTAACTTTACTTTTTTTTTTTTGCAGTTTTTGGCCATGTCTGGGTTCAAACCTGCCACCCTGCCACCTCCAGCATATGGAGCTGGCACCCTACTCCTTTGAGCCACAGGCACCACCCTGCATCTTCAACCTCTTGAGTTCATGCAATCCTCCTACTCCAGTCTCTGGAGCAGCTGAGACTATAGGTGCACCTGGCTAATTGTTGTATTTTTGTAGAGACGGAGGTCTCACTATGTGGTCCAGGTTAGTCTCCTAGGCTCAAACAATTCTTCCACCTTGGCCTCCTAAAATGCTGGATTATAGGCATGAGCCAAAATAATTTATTTTATTATTAAGGCAAAATTCCTCTATTAGGAAGGAAATAAATACCTATGTAACTGAAAGGTACAAAATAGGGTTAAGAAATATGTACTATCTCCAAACCCCTCAATCTCAAATAGCTTTCAAATGACGGGGCTATCTATCAAAAAGAAAAGTCTAGGCCAGGCACGGTGGCTCATGCCTGTAATCCTAGCACTCTGGGAGGCTGAGGCAGGTGGACTGCCCAGAGCTCACAAGTTTGAGACAAGCCTGAGCAAGAGTGAGACCCGTCTCTAAAAACAGCTGGGCGTTGTGGCTGGCACCTGTATTCCCAGCTATTAGGGAGGCTGAGGCAAGAGAATTGCTTGAGCCCAAGAGTTTGAGGTTGCTGTGAACTATGACACCATAGCATTCTATAGAGTGACAAAGTGAGATTATGTCTCAAAAAAGAAAAAAAAAAGAAGAATCTAGATATGTAATTTAATGTCAAAGAGGAAAGAAAATGTGCATTGTGTTGGAAGTTTGGGGGAAAGCACTAATGGGAACTTCTTTTGTAGGTTCTAGGATGTTAAAATGAAAATATAAAAACATGGCTTTATGGCTCTGCGCCTCTAGCACAGTGGTTATAGCACCTGCCAAAGGTGGTGGGTTTGAACCTGGCCCAGGCCAGCTGAACAACTGCAACAACAACAACAAACCATTGCTGGGTGGCACCTGTGGCTCAGTGGGTAGGACACCGGCCCCATATACTGAAGGTGGCAGGTTTGAACTCGGCCCCAGCCAGCTAAAACAGCAGTGGCAACTGCAACAAAAATAGTTGGGTGTTGTGGTGGACGCCTGTAGTCCCAGCTACTTGGGAGGGTGAGGCAAGAGAATGGCTTAAGCCCAAGAGTTTGAGGTTGCTGTGAGCTGTGACACCACAGCACTCTACTGAGGGTGACATAATGAGATTGTCTCTAAGAAAAAAACCATTGCTTTAGCTGCCAACAATTTCTTGGCACAACTACTACGAGGGCATTAATCAGTTCAATGCTCACCTTGGAAGTAGCATCTTTTAAATTGATAACACCAGACTCAATCATTTCATGGTATAAGTCATTGCCCTCACGGGTCCTCTCACCAACACCAGCAAACACAGAGTAACCGCCATGGGCTTTGGCAACATTGTTGATTAACTCCATGATCAATACAGTCTTGCCAACTCCAGCACCACCAAAGAGCCCTAGGAAAGGTTAAGAGGAATATTTAGAGTTCTGCATTCCTAAGTAAGTAAACTTCTAAAAAAATTTGCTTCCTTCTATCTTTTCCCTTCTCAGAAATGGCATCTGGCTTCAGCAAACTCAGAAGAACGAAAGTCAGAAGCTACTCATCAGTGAGGGATAGATCTTAATGACCACTCATAACATAGTTGATTTTTTCCCCTGACCATGTTAGGTTTAGAAAATAGGCACTAGCATACCAATTTTGCCACCCTTGGCATAAGGAGCTAGCAGATCCACAACTTTGATACCAGTCACCAGAATTTCCTGTTCAACACTCATTTCCATGAACTCAGGAGCCTCAGCATGAATAGCAGCAAATCTGTAAAGACAGAAGAGAAAATCAGATCTAGACACCTAAGTGAAGCCTTAAACATCCCTATCAACTCTCACGTCTAACTCTTTATTACAGGATCCAGTCTCATCTTCCCCTTGTATAAGTGAGATCAATTGTCATCTGGCATTTAACCCAACTGTGTGCAACAAAGACTTTGTTATCTCAGGAACCAATAATCCCATTCCCTCACAAATTTAACTGTCACAAAGTTTTTTACTAAGCCCTAATCTGACAGCATTCTTTCACATATCAGTAAGAAACAGAAAGACTGGCTCGGCGCCTGTGGCTCAACCGGCTAAGGCGCCAGCCACGTACACCTGAGGTGGCGGGTTCGAATCCCCAGCCCGGACCCGCCAAACAACA